GATTTCGGGAAGGTGATATGTCATTGGAAGATCGTCCAAGGTCTGGACGTCCTCTGGAAATTGATATTGAACAATTAATAGTCCTGATCGAAGACAATCCACGATTAACTACCAGTGAATTATCAGCTATGCTTCTATGCGATCACTCCACCATCGATCGGCATTTACATGAAATTGGAAAAGTTAGTAAACTTGAAACATGGGTTCCACATCAACTAAGCTCGGACAATATACAGCAAAGAATCACCATATGCAATTCTTTGTTGTCAAAACGCAACCGACACAAGTTTCTTCAACAGATTGTCACTGGTGATGAAAAGTGTGTCCTGTATGTCAACCATACACGCAAGCGTCAATGGGTCAATCCTGAAGATTTGCCTGAACCTGAACCAAAAAACGACCTGCATCCGAAAAAAATTATGCTGTCGATCTGGTGGGATTTCGAAGGTATTATCTACTGGGAACCTCTACCACCTAATACCACGGTCGACTCGAAGCTTTACTGCAAACAACTTGAGAATTTGAAAATTGCACTACAAGGAAATCGTCCAGAAAGACGAAAAGTTCGATTGCTTCACGATAATGCAAAACCTCATATCTCAAAAGTTACTCGCCAGAAGCTGGAAGAATTAGGGAGGGAGGTCTTACCTCATCCACCATATTCACCAGATCTGGCACCTTCTGATTATCATCTGTTCCGGTCGCTCCGCAATCACCTGGTGAAAAAGCATTTTGATGATCGACTACATCTAAAATCGGACCTCGAGAGTTTCTTTTCGTCTTCATCAAAGAAATTCTTTGAAGATGGCATTCTCGATTTGCCTAAAAGATGGGAGTATGTCATAGACAATAATGGTATATATGTTGTCGATTAGTGACATTTTGTTTCAATAAAATCATGAAACATTGAAAAGAAAAAAAATCGGCGGAGACTTTTGCACGAACCCGATATGATAAATGTAGGTGTTTCAATTTAAATTTTTTCATAAATGTTACCATTTAAAATTTATTGTATTATATTTTCTATAAATATATTTACAAGTTGATTTCAATCATTTGTGAGATTCAATATTCTCTTTCTATTTTAGCTTATTATGAAGAGAAAAGAAAACAAAAAGTAAAACACAAATTTATTTTGATTATACATGTACAATAGGCTAATTCTTTTGTCGTCGTTATCGTAATTCACTGTATTATTTATCAGGTATTGGAAGATGTGTCAAGCATACCATGATTCAGATTTCGACCTTGAGAAAGGGTATCATCAGATGGTTTCAGGGTGAGACGGAAAGAAAACGAAATTTTCAAGAATTTCTCTTTGATTTGATTGAAAACGTGATTGAAAATGAAAAATCCTTGATGATTCGCTCAAGATAAAGAGAGAGAGAGTTTCTCTTCGAAATAAAACATCCGAAGAGATGGGACATGTGTGACGAGTAAGATAGCAATGCTACCTTGGAGGAAATGGATCGTGGGACATAGAACAGGGTGTGGGTGTTAGTTACCTCTTGATGCACATTCATGAACCCTCCTCCTCCCCCCACACCTACATCCACACCCGCACCCACACCACACTGACCCCACACCCATATCGATAGAAATGATGGAACCAAAGCATGTGAATATATTTCAAGACTTTTCACTTTAATATTACTGATCGTCAGCTGACAAATATACCCACGTTGTGCGTTTTTAGAAGAAAAATTGTTTTATTTTTATGGATAACTATTTCGTGTTTCAAAAGACTGGTTTTTTACATGCGCGAGGACAGTCACCACAACATTTTTTCTCTCCGGGACAGTGAAAATCATTAGTGCAATAGGCAACACAATCTCCGGTGCCCGTTTGTGGTGGACATTTGCCTGGCTTGCTGATCGACGCTGTGCCTGGCTCCTTCGGTAGTGGAAGTGGTAGTTGATGACTATTAGGGCAGCAGACAGCATAGGCATTGTTGGGTGAAATAGCACAATAATGTGTCGATGGACATTCACGACGATTGGGACCATCTCCACAAAAGTAGCCTTCGAGTGGTGTTGCTTCCTCATTACATGGACTACTCTTGCATGCACACATCTCACATCCATTTGCATCGAACCGATTTCCATATGGGCAATACATATCACACACTGGAACATTCCAACATGGATTCACCAATGATGAGATGACTATCTGTGCCATCGTGCACAAAAATAGAGTTGTGAGATAAATTATCATCATGTGAGTATTGTAGAGTATATAAATGTCTTTCTTTTTATACGACGAGTTGATGTCGTATCCCTTATGTCAATATTTGGTCGGTTTTTTTCAATCAACATGCACACATAGATTACTATTTCGAGGCACTCATTATAGGTTAAGCATAAATCTCACTGAATTGCACGTATTCCACAAAACTGAACAAATATGGCCACTTCTCTTGTTGCTTTCAATCATTGTTGACATGTTAGTGGATATCGCAACTCGATAATTCTGCAGTTTGAATGACTCAAATGGATTAAACTTTATCAGAAATATTTGAAACGTGTGAAATATGACTAAACGAGCACTTAGTAAGACGATCTCGCATCATGAATTAACGTGACAATGAACTGATAAAGTTAGATTTCTAATGCAATACCATGTTCCAGTATGCATTGTGTCCTATGCAAATCAATTCTAAATGAGAAAAACTGTCATGACAAACGAAAAAACTTTCGTCTATCGAATAAAAGTTGATGCTGAAATATTATGATTATCTCCTATAGTTCTTCCTCCTCTTGATATCATATCTCACTATACATAGTGCAAATACAAAGGATCCACGGCGTTTGTCTTCTTTTATTTTCTTCCATAAGCATATACTTGCCCAACATACATAGAGAAGATTGTCAGTTTTATTGTACCACTTGACGACGAGAATACATATGCTTTACTGCTATTTTGAGGGTCAAGTTTTAGAGATGAATGCTGGTTTATGGTGAACTTATTTTCTTCAACACACTAAAAGAGACAGATTTGCTAATACCAATGAATAAATATTACTTACACTTCATTTTTCAAGGTCATTGTTTTCGTCGATCTCTTCAAATCTCTCTTGTGGAGCAGAATTTTGACATGACTGGAAACATTTTTAGATATATCAGATTGATCCTTGTTGAGCCACTATATTTTTCTTTATTCACTTTCCATTCACTATCAAGCTTGTATACTGTGTAGAGTTACGTCTTATCTATTCCTCTTTTATGATATATTTGTTAATGTTTATTCTTTTTCTTCTATTTTCTCTTCAACGCGTCTCTTTCAAGACAAACATAGATATATTATCGTTTATATGACGAATGTTTTATACGAAGGTATGTACTCTGCTTGTTTTCAAAAAATAAAAGAATGACGAAATTCAACAGTGGATGCTCATAAACTTTTCAAGCATTAATAGAATTGTTCAGAGACCTATCAAAAGCTTCAAATGGATATTGTCGAGAGCAAAGGATCGAAACTCTAGATTTTATGACTTGATAGACGATTTAAGAGATCCAGATATGATTTCTCACTTTAAAAATTTAAATAATCTTTTCATGATTTTTAAGTGAGAAATAGACGAAGAAAGTTAACATTTCTTTCCTAAGTAACTAATGATTATTCAATTGCCTGTTACTTGAGATGTGTTATGTTCTGTCATGAAGAACAGAACCTCAAATCGGTAATATCTGACGAAGGTCGACTTCATTCTGCCTTGAGAAGTGTTCAATAGAAAGAAATCTATCCAAAAACCAGACTATCTACTGTTGAAGAAATATTTTTTTAAATAAAATCTCTGTTCTTAGACTAACCTTTCTTATATTCAGAACAGTTTAACCCAAAGAAGCTGTGCTAACAAACTTTTCCTGCTGTACCTAGAGACTACGGGAAAAAAAACATCATCGGCTATATTCATGACGTTGATCATAGGCACTCGAGAAGCTTGGGAACAAATTGTATTGAAGTAACAATGAGAAGCACTATCGAAATTGGTTCTTAATAAAAATTTCTATTATTGAAGCTTTCTGTATCGACGTCTATGATTCGATCTTGAAACGACGTGTTCAGCCGAGAAAAATCCATTCTATTGGTTAATATGTGCCACTGCATGTAGTACTAGTAAAGAAACTATTTTTAATAATAGTAAATTCTCATAAACTTATTTGTAACTCATCTATCATTAAAATAAAACATTTGTATATTTTCAGAACAACATAATAGCAGCGACTTATCGTCCAATAGTTCTGACAAGATAGTCTCTTAAAAAAGAATAACATTCGTTCTGCAATATAATAAATAGCTAACGTTGTGTGTATAGAACTGCAAATTATCAATGTTATATTGGCAAATTCAACGAGATTTTTTAGCATTATTCAGTCGTGACGATGTTACGAGCGGCTATTTTGATCCAATCGACGGACTATGAGCTATTGCTAATCTTTTAATTATCTTTTGTCATTTGGTAACAATTTTTAGTGCATTTATACCATCCTATCCTCATATTCAATGGCAAGAATTCTTAAACAGTCAAGCTTTTATGTTGGCACCGATAATGACACTGGCGTTAGAAATTTTCTTTATGTTGTCGGCATTCTTACTCACCCATAAATTGATTATACAATGGATGAAAGATGATAATAGCCATCGACTATTTCTACAACAATATCCAAAGTTGATTTTGAAACGTGCGCTGAGATTTTGGCCTGGTATTTTGTTGGCAACTATAATTACGTTTATTTGCGGTGAATCACGACATCACAATCCTGTCAACTATCTTGTAAGTGTATGGCTATTCTTTCAAAATTATGTCGATTATGACCATTGGTTAACTACATTATCCCCTCTATGGACAATCAGTTTAGATATGCAAGTTCATATTCTTTTACCATTATTACTATATTTATTCTATTCATGCCGTAAATATATTTCTGTCTTCAACTCCCTAGCAATATTATTATTATTGACAATCATTCGATCTATCATCATCTTTGATCCTACGACAATGCCAATCGTCTCGATCTTATCACGATATAATCCATTAGCAGTTCTGATTCCTGAACATACGTGTTCATGGCTTCAATCAAATTATAACCTTATATTTCCATTTGAGTGCCAAATATCAAACCTATTGAAATCGTTTATGCAAAAAATGTATTTTCCAATGGAGGCGCGTTTTGGAAGTTTTATTATTGGTGCCATGCTAGCAATAAAAGTAAGTCATCTGTCGCATCAATACAATCGAAATAGTACCTTCAGGAAATATGTCTTTTTATGTTTGATCTTTCTCCACATATTGTTAACAGCTACACAACGAATCGATTCACCACTAGTGTCCGGTCTTGCTCTAAGATTGTCGATAGCCAGTTCTCGACAAATATTCGCCACTGGTCAAGCATTTATCTTGTTCACGGCACTATGTCCACCTTCACATCCGTACCATGCACCTTGGATACGACGATTTCTTACAAGTTCCATATGGATTCCTATTTCAAAGTTGAGTTATTTGGTTTATCTTACTCATTGGCCAATATCATTCGAATTCATATTTGGTGGATCTCTGCTGTTTCTAAAAATGTATTCAGTTACATATGCCGCTACTATAAGTCTACCAATTATTCTTTTCATCTCACAGATTTTGTATTCTATTTGGTTTTTACTCATTGAAAAACCATTTGAGCGTGTCGTTCAAAAATATTTCAATGCTAGTAAATCAAATCAAGGTCATCTTAACTAATAAATTCAAGATCGTTTCATGAATCTGGTCGAAAATCATGATTCACAATTATTTTGCAGGAAAAAGCCTACCATTGCCAATTCACCAATTTATTAATTTTTTGATCACACCCTCACCCACACCTCTCAGCTGTTATTCTAATCTAATCGTAATTCGGGCATTCGATATTTGTGGCCTAGTGACGTATGCCTTTGAGGACTATATTCTTTGTTGGTGAAAAAATGATTCTAAGTTGAAATAGGTAGTTCGACGGACTCTCGACTCTGATGGCATAAGCTGTCCGCTGGGAAGCTTGAGTGAAGATGTGGAATGTTAACAATATTTTTCGCTAGAGAACGATTTGTAAAATCCATTGGATAGAATCATTCAATTGAACATTTCGGATCGAAGGCTTAACCAGAGCAAAACTCTAGAGCAATGAAAATATCATCCAGGGTATTGTTCACTTCTCTTTCTGTTTTTTTTTTAAATAAAACATTCCGAACAGTTCTTGGACTTTTTCTTTGGTCATACTAACATTTCTTGATCAACACAGTTGGTACGATCATGTCAACAGTCAGCAGACAGACGATGAATACTCCCAATCCTGCTAAGAGAAACTTTTGGCACACTAAATTGAGACAAAGATAATTCTAGTAAAGGTCATGAGCGTTTTCTTACTAGTTTTGGGTGGTTTGAATGGGACCAATTCAAACGTAGTAGCATTCGGCTAAAAACGAGAATGTCAGTGTCATAAAAAGCGAAACAGTTAGTTTTTGAGACAGTTCGGGAACTCAATACTGAGCTATTTAGAAGCTAACTTCCATTAAATATGATAGACTTATTTATTAAAAAGAAGAGTAGCATGGCTAGAATATAAGATCCATTGTGCTGATGATTTCAAGTAATGCCATGCTTCCACTAACAAACTATATGAACAACGCATTTGTGTGAACGGACACTTAGCCGCTAGTATTTTAGCTCTGAATAGGGGTGGCACATTTACTCTACTTTTCCAAAAATGGTGTGGGTTAGGAGGAGACCAACACCCACACCCACACCCTTGTTATAACGTATCTTTTCTGTCTCTAAACAAGATATAAAAATCTGATATTAGTATCAAATACGTATTTCAAAAATATTTTAGGTTATCTGAATTGATCTCTTTATTAAAATAAAATTTAAAGTTTATAGAGTGAATAGTTCCCATGTTTCAAATAGTTGTATCCGTCTGTCTTGTTTCTTCTCTTTTATTTTCATCGTATCAAAGTCAACGAACATTATCCAATATATATCTTCCAATGTAGCCGAGTGTAGATGATGAATCATGAATAATATTTGACGAGTTGATTCGTCATAAATGGCTTGAACATCTTTCACTACCCATTGATTAGGCGTTTTCAAAAGAAGTTTTTCATTAGTAATCTCACTCGTGTAAGGATTCATGTAGAGCATGATAAGATCATTAGCAATCAAGCAACGCAATCGTGTTCCCAATATAGTTTTTGTCTTTATGTCATAAGTCATCGTAAGAAGAAAATCAATATTTGACATTCGATGAAAATCAGTAACAATATCTTCTTTCTTCCCAACAAGATTTAAATCCATTTTAATAAAATATGCTTTTATCAAAGGAGTTTCAACTCGTGTTCGAACTTCTACAATCCAATTTTCCTCGTAATCAAACATTGCACAACCAGCTTTTGGAACGGTATATTGTGAACGGTTTTGTTGAGTATAGTTTCGAATAAAATCTAATGTTGTCATATTATACTCTTCAATAAATAGTGTAGATGTTAAATCATCACGTAATCCAAATAAGCGTTGACGTTGAGGATCATAAAAAAGATAGGCAAAATCTCCATTATGTAAAATCCATTGACTTTGCTTGTACGTTTTCTTGTTCATATCAAAAACGAATAAAAATAAACGTTTAGGTACAATTCCACATTGTACAGGCATGTACATCAACGAAGAAGAACTACTATTCACAATAGCTATAGGACCAGGTACAAAATAATACATAGATGTCCGATTATCATCAATTTCAAATGAGAAATTTGCAAAAAATAGAAATTCTAATGATGCTGGATTGTAGGAAAAAATACTTCCATAGAGCGGACCTCTATAAAAGAAGAAAAAGAGTAGCAAATAGGATTGATAGGTCAAATTCTATTATACTCGGAATTGTAAATCGGGCTTACGGCATAATAGATAGTTGCCGAGGATAAGTTAACATGTTCACAAAAGAGAAAAACAAGTCCAACAATTATAACTTGCAGTCGATGCATGATGTTTAGATAAAATGATGTTATTCTATTTTTTATATTCACATTCTTATCTTAACTAAACATATTTTTAACCATGAGAATGACCCATTTGTTTTCGTGTTAGCTTGTTTTTATTCAGTGTGATGATTTCTGATAGAAGAAGTATTAGTACTGATGATATTGCATTTTATTTCTTTCCTTCATAACATAAAGTAAATGAAGTATCAAGATAATCTTCTTACCTATAACGACATTGTCTATTCGAGTTTTTAACTCCGTAAATTGATCTTGTGTATTCGCTGTAAATTGCAGATAGAAACAATTTGATTATTTAGCCTAGACAATGGCAGAGAGAGAGAGAGAACCAGCTTACCACCACTTAATATTCTTACATTCTTAATATATATGCCATAAGTAAACTGGTAAAAGTTGTCGCATGGATCAATTGTTTCATTGATGCTTTGTACGAGAGCTTTGACTGGAAAAGAAACAATATTCACTTTATTCATAAGATATACTGACCTGCTCTGATGCAGTATGGAGTCAAACATAAATCATTCTCGTTGACGATTGACACCACTATCCACATTCAAAAGTTCAATTCAACAATGTTTACTCAATTAAATTCAATTATATATATGTGTTGTCGTTGTAGTTTGCATCATTTGAAGATCCCTTGTTTTATTCAGTTCAATACCATACAAGATAGCCAATATAATTGTAGCAGCGATAAAGAGACCAGTGACAACGACAAGCAATAGCAACAACATCTGACTATGTAATGTCAACTATGATTTGTCATGCAAGTTATTCGATATTTAACTTATCCTTGAACAGGAACCGCAGGCACAAATCTTGCTAGTGCTTCACTGAGCATAATTATTATTTTGATCGATCTAATAAACAATAATATAGAGTATCACTGTAATTATATATGCTGTTATCTAAACGTATGAATATTTTCATCAAAAACTACTTTGCCATTTTGCGTCAATATGTTTTGCTCGTTGTTATTTCTTATTTGATCTGTGATGTCAATCGAATAATGAACAAGAGAGAGTGATTAAAAATAAAAGGAGAAATCAATAGACATGCACTAATGAGATGAGTTTGTGTAAGTAGATTCGCTAAGCAAACTATCTTACCTTTATTCAACACGCACATACTCATATATATATATATGTAGCATCTAACGTGAGAAGATGAATATATAGAAGATGTAGCAAATTGATAAACGAGACAAAATGTTCTTATGAAAATCATTTGATATTTTTTAAAATATTGAAAAAAGAAAATGTACCAATTTGTCTTTTGTGTAAAACGAATAAAAAACTATCCATTGTTTCTTTCTTTAAGTTTTTAACCAACTTTTTCTTATACGAAGGAAGATTTTCGTTTTCCGAATATATTTTTCGTTTTTGATTGATAATCGAAATGTTCGTTCTATTACGAAGAGAAGAAACAAAACAACTTCATCGATATTAGCGCAATTTGAATCTTTTATACATATTATTGTTTCTTTTCATAAATGAAACTCTGTAATCATAATAGATAGTATCTATTTGTGTTCTATATTATTAAGGAAATATCCTTGCCACGAAAGAGAGATCAATGCATACATTTCTATTTTTCTTTACTCTCTCTCTCTAATCTTGACAAAACAAAATTCTTTCATCAATAATTCAATTTTACTTATACATCAAAATAGAAGTATTCGTTTGTTCCTTTTAAAACATGCTTTATTGTACTTGTGGATATTTAACAGATCAAGATAGATCATTATTTTTTATAATTTCTTGTTTCTTCTTTTAGTGAAAGAACTTCATTTTGTTTGATAACTTTTACTATATCTTTGATTTAAGATAGCTTTTGCTAGCATGAACAAAAAGGTTAAAAGTTCGAGACTTCCAGTCATTACCACTATATATCGTAATAAATCACGATGTTTTTCAAGGTACGCAGTTTATTGAAATTAATAGTTGAAAAAGATTCAGACGAAAAATCAAAACAAATTGAATAGTAACGAAATTTCAATGTCCAGTATTTGTTCTCGCCGTTGTCGGCGTACTGTTCTCTACACAGAAAAAAAAAATAAAGACGTAATTCAATATCATAAAGTATATGACTTGATGATTTCAAAGAAGGACTTAGAAAATATAGTATAAAATATTAGTATAAGGCTATTGCTGACTTAACATGAGAAAATATATTCAAAATAACTTACTCAATTTACATAAGATTTTATTTTAGTATTTTTCTCATTTTAAAAACTGATGACGAGCAATATCGTGCATTGGCGAACACATGAGAAATGAATAACGTAAAATAAGTTCAGTTTAAGTATTTGACTCTAATTTAAAGCAGATTTGCTTTGAACTAAGTCATTTACCAACACATAATAAACGAATAACAGAGATAATGATTTTGTTCAAGTATTTTCTTCGACTCAAAAGAAAATCTGGACAGAATGAAGCCATTCACAAGCACATAATAGATAAATACCAGATATCACGATTTTACTCAAATACTTAGTTCAATTTGAAACCAAAACTGAGCAGAATTAAACTATTTACAATCATATGATAAATGAATAACAGATTCAACACTTTTAGTCAAGTATTTTATTCGAGGGTGTGGGTGGTGTGGCTGTGGCTGTGGCTGTGGCTGTGGGTGGCGTGGGTGTGGGTGAAGAGAAGATCACTACCCTCAGACACAACCACAACCACACATCCACACCCACACCCATATAAATGAACACCTGATGTACGCAGCTATCATTTCAAAAGAATGAGTTGATAAACTGAAATAAAATAGTAAAGGTATCCGAAAAAACTTTTGGGAAGAGACTTATGGAACACATTATAATGTAATGATTTTGATTTCTCCAGAGTAATCGAAGTCATGAAGTCAAAAAGATGTAAAAGTAATAAAAACAATGTAATACTTTTGATTTTTCGGAAACATCAACGTCATGGAATGAAAATGATTCAAAAGTAATGAAATTAATGGAAAGATTTTGGGTTTTTCAAATAATCAAAGTCATGAAGCTTTTTTGGTTTTGAAAGTTCCTGGGCAGTATCTGATAAACCACAAAAGATTTTGACTAAAACACACGTTTTTACAACTAAACTCGATCCATCGTACTGTTCATGTTCGTCCAATTCGAATTTGGTTATAAATCTTTTTTAACTTGTGTCTCATGCGAATTTTCATAGGTTCTGAGCAGAACGTTGTACAAGCAGCATGTTCAAAGTTTTATTCAGAAACAATTGTGAAGCTATGCTGAGATTTTCATATAATTCATGTATTATGATGATCGTCCGTCAATTTTATCCTTTTATTACCATGCTTGCGTTCTATGGATTGGACGGTAGGCTTTTCAAGCCATATACTCATTGAATAGGCGTTACCTTTGTATCTTGAACCAGGTTTGTTCTCTTCAAACCATTCAGTGAATTTTCTCCAAGACGATGTGTGACCGAAGCGAAATTGAGCACTTGACAAATGTGGAAGTCGTTTAAGAACAAGTTTGATTTCATCCGGATTCTTAATTGATACTGTCAAATGTTTGATATGTGAAGGAACCATAGAACAAATATTATCAGCAGTCCAGCTGTTGTAAATACTAATATCGTAATCTATAGTGAGAGAAGTAAGGCAACATGTTCTTTGGAGGAGACTGGCGATATTGGCTCGCATGTTACGTCTTGCTCTATAAATTGATCGACCTATGAACTTAATTTGAACGATTGTGGTTAGATCGATTAGTGTCGAAACAAACAGAGCCCAGTCTGATGGTAAATTATTCTTGAACTCGATTTGAAGTTCTTTCACTTTGCGAAATAAAGGATGGCTGGTTCTTTCATTCTAGACAAAGTAAAAGACGCATGGAACCTCTAGGATGTGACTAAAGAAAATCATTCCTATTTGACCTGCGACGTCATTTAACTCAAGATTCACAAAATAGCCGTTTCATTGGTCAATAAAGAAAAGACATCAAATACAGCACAATGCAATTCATCAAATCTTACTTTGAAACAGTCTCTATGGTGTACTGTCGCACAAATATCAATTTACGAGGGAACATTCCCAGGTGTTGGAGCGCTTTTCAGTCAGGACTTAGTACATTTTGTAGACCTTGATGAGCTATGTTTACTATAAAAAAAGTTCGTGCCCATGACCTATTTCTAAGGAGATTGAACGTTTTTAGTTTTATAGCTGAATATTTCCATTGTATCTCAACCACATTGTACACAAATGATCTCCAATTTTGATGAAGTTTTCAGCGTTTATAGAACTTTTAATTCTGAATATTTTGATAAAAACAAATTTTTTTCAAAACGCTTTTCTTTTGATAAAGACACATTCAAAATATTGTGAGTAATAAAAACTCAAAAACGCTCAAGAAAAATTTTGCTCCGAGTTTTTGGGTCTATTACTGCCTACAGTTTTTGAGTGCATCTTCACTAAAACAAAAGTATTTTGAAACACTTTTTTTTATCAAAATGCTCAGAATTAAAAGCTCTATAAACGCTGAAAACTTCATCAAAATTGGAGATCATTTGTGCACAACGTGGTTGAGATACAATGGAAATATTCAGCTATAAAACTAAAAACGTTCAATCTCCTTAGAAATAGGTCATGGGCACGAACTTTTTGTATAGTAAACATAGCTCACCAAGGTCTACAAAATGTACTAAGTCCCGATTGCAAAGCGCTCCAACATCTGGGAACGTTCTCTCGCTAGTCTAGGCTTGTAAAGGCACTGGCATTGAAAACGTTTTAAAACAGATTATCATTAGAATTTGGTCGTCTTTCATGTGCTCACGAACTTTCAATGTCGAAAAACGAAGTCAAGTTTTGACTATTTCCCTTCGCCATTTGTAACAGAAGCTTTTAGCAAAAAAGATTTCTCAATTCACAAACTTTTACAAAACTTGGAGTGAAATCTTTGTCCAACATCAAATTT